TCTGCAGAAATAAGAATGCTCTACAACTTGTGAATTTGAGAGAGAAGGAAGAAAAATGAAGTGAAGCATGAAAAGCTTTGCTAGTACTTTAGGATTTTAGACATTGGAGCATATTGGAATTAGAAAACACTTAAGGTAAGGTTTCTAAGCATATTTCTTCCCTTTTTCTTCCATTTCCTCTAGTTGGGAAGTTAAGGATTGGTTAAGAAATATGATTTTTAATCCATAGAGACTATGGGTTTGAACCCATTGATTTAAATAGAGTTAATAAGGGTTGAGTAAGCTAATGAAACCTAGAATTTATGGCTTTATGAGTGTTGGTGGTTGGAAGGCATTAAATATCCAAAATTCCACCTTAAAAATGGTAGCTAGGATAATGTGACTCCATTAATAATTATTTAAGAGTTTAATAAAGTTAATGTAAGTTAGAAGAAGCTAAGAAACCCTATAAATACCTTTGTATGATAAGAGATGGAATTTTAGGAATGAAGAAGTGATACAATTAATAGTGAAAACTACCCTAAAAGGGGTATTGATAAATTATGTTGTGATTAATTATAGAATAATCATTTGACACCATTGAAGCTTTATGGAAGCTTTAGGAGTGAGTATTTGAGAGGTAAAACCTTTGACCTCTCAAAGGTTTAAAATAAGCAAGATAATTCTTCCTTGTACTTTTGTGTGTTAATTTATTTATTGATTTATACTTTATAATTTAAACATGTGGGATTAAATGAAAATGCAAGTGTGGCATGACTTATTTGAAAAATCCATTATAATATAATCTTGTAATTTCAATGAAGTGTTTTTCACTCTAAGATTCGATGATGTGATTTGTGAATGGATTTTTAATGATTGTTGTCATGAGAATTTCAATTATTTGAAAAGTGAAAAGTTGAACGAAATTGTTTTTTATGAAGTTCTATGAATGTTTATGATATAGAGTTCAATGATGTGATTAAATGTTAAGTGAAGTATAATGATTGTGTGACAAAGGAGTTCAGTGACATTTTGTATTGTGGAGTTTGATAATATGTGTTAAATGCTAATATGTGATGAATATGAGACATTGTGCATGCTTGGGTAGTGAATACTTGCATGCTAGGAGTTATTGTATATTTATGAATTGCATGATCACGAGAGCTAAGAGCTCGCCTAAAAAAAGGAGTAAATAATTAAATCCATATGGTAAAGTTCCCATCAGAGTTTGATGGTTAGCCTAGATTGATTATATATATTATCTTATTTGTTCAATGAGGGACTTAAATCTAGCTAGTTATCTACTTGTTCAATGAAAAAACTAGTCTAGAAAGAATGACACCTCATAGCGTGAGAAATGGAAAAAACTGTGACTCACAAGTGAGATAGAAAGCCTTGACCGATTAAACTCTCACAAGTGTTTTAGCTAGGGTAGTCTTAGTGTATAGACGATCTCAATGCATTATAGCCCATAGTTTTATATTAGAGAAATAAAGAGGATGTAAGGAAGGTATGATTATATATATAATAATTAAAGCTTACATGATTGTCTGTATTGTAACCCTAAAGAAACAAATCATGTAATAAGTCTTGTTTTTATATGAAATAAAGTATTATGTCAATCATTATTTCATGAGCATAAGTACTATGAATGAGAATTTGAATTATGCTCTTGAACATGTTTAATGATTTCAAATTAATTATATTTGTCATTTGCATTTAAATTGATTGACATGCATTAGTATGAGTTAGATAAACTTTGATTACTAAACGGTTGTACCTCACTATCTTCAATATTACAAAAACTAGTTCAAGAAGATAAGACAAAGAAAAACAACCTGAGGTATAGGATTAAAATTCTATTAGTAGGCCTCCTTTACTTTTGAGTATTTATGTATATTCTTCACATGATATTGCCAACTAGAATTACTTTATGTTGTGACTTACTTGTACTATGAGTTTTTTTAATTTATATAGTGTATTTTAGGCCCTAAAATGCATGTGTATGGATTGTGAAATCTATGGCAAGGCTAAAATACTAATACAAGTAAGAGTTATATATGACATGTGAATTACAGTGATTAATCATTGAAATGTGAGATTAGAGCTCCCCTTTTTACTTTTGAGTTTAAGGGGTTGAGCAATGAAAGTATGTTTTATAAGTTTTGTTAATGATGCGGTGCATTGCGCAAGTCTGTTTTAATCTACTGAATGTTGTTTAGGTGGTATTTATGGCTTTTAGTATGAATTTTGGGCACTCAAGTCTTGTGTTAATGGTGAAAAAGAAAAAAATTTTAAAATAGATATCTAACTTTTGTATGAGAAATAATTTGAGTGTGAAACTAAAGTCATTAGTTAGAGTTATGAGAAAACTCTTTATAGATATCTAAATCACGTCAATTGAACGTTGGGCAAAGAAATAGATCACGTCAGAAGTTCACAGAGAAAGCTCTCTTTGTCAAATAACATACAATGCACCGCTATACGCTGTGCACTAAGCTGTAGTACATGGCACAGAAGCTTACGAGCCGTGATGCAAGTACCATGAGCTATGGCGCATGCCTCTATTTCTACACTATTTCACTGTTTTTAATTTTAAGCAAATGCGTTAATTTTTTTTATCCTATGCTTTCGCACACAAAATGAACACTGATTCTTCATTGTAAAGTCCTTTTAGTATGTTTTAAACAAAGAAAACTTAGGATCCCCTTTATTTAAGTTTGATAAATTTGTTATTCTTACTTGTGAAATTTGACAAGATTGATAATTACCATAATGTTTGGGAGATTTGGGATAATTAGTAAGTGTAACCTTACTTGTCTAACCTAAATATTTCAACTTCTACCAAACTCTTGATCAATACAATCCATACAATTATTTCATAATACATAGGTATTAATCACATGTGAAATCAATAAGTAACTCTAATAATAGAATTATACAGTCTAGACCTACCTTACAATTAGCACTAATTTAAGGTTAGGGTCCATTTTAACCATTCCACACTTCTCTCTAAAATTTTCATACACTAATAAACTATAATTAAACTATAATTAAGTCTAAAATCACTTATAATATCATAATTTCATCAATCCATATTCCTAAATTCATCCAAAAATACCTTGAAAAATCAAAAATTGTCCTCAAGTCTTAAATCACCATTCCAAAGTCTTAACAACATTTTCCCATACTCAAATAAACATCTAAACACCAAAAATTCATTCTAATGATTCGGATTCAACATAAACTCAGCTATATAGATCTTGAGTTTAACTCAAAATTCCTAAATTTAAAATTCAATCTCAAAGAAATGTTCTATACCATTTATTACACTCCCAACAATATCAACAAATATAATAAATCATCATAACTTCATATTATTTATCCTATAGGAAAACCCTAATCTAAAAATCATCCTCAAACTTAAAGAAAAATTGATAGAATGGTAGAAGGGAAGGCAAGAAACTTACCTTGAGGGTTACAAGGCTCAAATCTAGATCCAAGGCTCTGAAAAATCAAGTCCTAGCACAACAAAATTGCCCCTCTGTGTTTTCCTCTCCCTTTCCTGCGTTTTGATTTGACTTTCAGAATAGGAACTTTTATTTGTGTTTTCAACCATGACCGATCAGTATATTTTAGAACTGCAAACAATTGAAACTACTTAAACCAATTTGCCCTTTCTATTTAAGACAGTAGACGATTGTGTCATGTACTAGGTTCAACCATGGATGATTGTAATCCAAATTATCACATACTCCTTAATTCATCACCAAACCTCAACTTAACCATTCTAAATCCCAAACAACCAACACATTTAGATTCATAGTTATTTATTAACCTCAATAAACCTCAAATTAATATAATCCTCTCATTAAAATCTCACTAAAAATTAGGATGCTATGCAGGGCATACTTTCAAGTAGAAATAATGTTTATAAAGGTACTTATAGATAACTTACCAATAAAGTACTCACATCAATAGTGAAATTTAATCTCACAACCTTTTGAGTTAATCCTTATCAACTAGATTAATATTTGTCATATGAGAACATTTATCAGAACAACTATTGGGCCTTGATCTTTTAATTGGGCCTCAGAAGTTTTTTTAGACTTCACAAGAAGTATACATGGGGCTTCAAAAACATTCAAGCATTGCAGACTAGCCCATTAAATAACTCTAAGATTTATCAAGTGGATGTGACACAAATGGTAACAATTTAAATCCCTTAAGCATCATTTCAGGCTTCGATTTTTGGAGGTATATATGAAAAAATATTACTTGAGAGAGAACAACTTCTTAAATGGCATTTAGATTCCTCGAATCATTAGTCTTAAAATTGTCGGCTGTGGGAATACCTACATTCCTCAGCACAAAATCGGAGAGCAGGGCAAAAGCATAGACACATGTTTTTGAACTTGGTCTTTCAATATTGGGCCAATCACATATGCCGTTGAAATATTGGTTGGAGTCTTTTCATATATACAGCTTTTCATCTTATTAACTTATTGCCCGCTCCAGATATATAATCATGCTCTACTTATTTAACCATGCTGATGTTGTTCTTGTAACTGGAAGTGAACAAGCATGTTCTCGCTGAAGGATTCGATAGTACATGTCAAATCAGATGCTTTTAGATAGGATTCGATTATATGCTATCCAAGTGTATCTTGCGAGATCGTGGCTGAGGGAGATTGGATTACACTACTGCTACAAATCTGACGATGTACTCTGCATAATCAATACACATTACTACCATTTTCTCTATAGCCTAAAGTCCTCTGTTTTATCAGTTTCATCGCGTTTTTGTTCCGGTATTTGTGGTATATATATTTAACAGTACTATAGTCGCTTTTTTACACTCCGTTTTGCCAGAGATTGTTAACGTTGTATATAAACTAGTCAATTAATTTTGGAAGACCATATCATGGCGAGAGATAAAATTACCTTTGAAAATTATGGTCATTGCATCCAACAAGTTATCCCCGTGCATGATAAATCTATATTTCCCTCAAACTTCAAAATGGGAAAAAAAAAAGTTCATGGAGAACATATGGAGAATAATTTAAAATTCGTACTACATAATCTCAAACGAAATTAACACGGGTAAAATCTTATTCAAGGGTAGCAGAGACACAATTCAACAATGAATTCGTAGACGTGTTTTTCTCCGTTTCTAGCTCTCAAGGGCCACCTGGGGCATAATAGTCTTTCACTGTGTAAGCGGTCTCAATAGAAGTGAGAACAAGAAGAATTGTAGCTGCCACAAGTTTGAGGAGCATCCACGGGTCAGGAATGTACTTGCTGAACAAAAGCAGGAATTGGATTTTGATGCTGAATTTGATCCGAGGACCAAGCAGTTCCAGAAAACTCTGGAAATGATGCCACTTCATGGTCAACCATCCGGTCACAGGAACACTAATAATATGCTCCGGCACTGCGTTCAATCGCACGCACAAAGCACTGTATCTCGAATCCATATTTTCAGCTCCGGCTGTGATATTTTGGAACATGAACAGTAATTTGTGCTCGCTGATCGCAAAATCTTCATCCACTACAATAATGTTTTTGGATTTTAGCAGTCGGATGTCTTGAACAGAACAGATTAAGCCTTTCAGAAAATACGCGTACGAGGTGAACTTGAAGCTGATTTCTTTCAATCCGCTTTGCTCCCAGGCAATCAAATTCCTCCACTTCACATCCGTTCCTTCTTTTATATACAGCGTCGGGATTATCAGCTTCCGCTCACTTTCCTTAAAATCTATATAAAAATCGAACCTGTCCACAAACTCCCTCAGTGCTGAAGCCACAATTCCTGTTTTGTTGTCTGCAATATAACTCTAAATTTGGTTATGACCGAGGTTTTATAGATGTTAAATCAGAGATAAAAATTACTTCAAAATTACCGGTAAGATTAGAAGCGTTTGTATTCTTTTGTGAAGTCGCATAAATTTCGATTCTCGCAGCTTGGAGCTCTGTGGCGCAGCGTTTCAGTTCTTGTGTAGCAGCTTTCATGGAAGTCACGTCTTTGTCAAAGGGGTCGACGGAGGACAGGTGCATGAGATGAAGGAAATGATATACTCCTGCGGCAGCAATGTCGTATCCGAAGAGTGACTTGGCAATTTTTTCTGGAGAAAGTTGTATCCCGCCACCAGGAACATCCTGAGAAAGTGCAAGTAGACCGTCAAGTTCTTGTCCTTTATCAGCTTCTTGTTCTTGTACTTTGAAAAGTCGACGGGACAAAGTTGTAAGCACGAAGAAAGGGATTTGGTTCTCGAGCAGAGTGAGATCAGTGAGAACGCGCAAGATCTGTTTCTTGTCACTGTATCCATCCAGGGTGATATCATGGAGCCCAAGAAGAAGCTCTAAGAGAAAGCAGGCATCAAGTAAGATTATTCTGGCAAGCTGCTCTGGTTCGAGCTGGATCTTCTCCGCATAGCTCAATCGAACTATACTGTCCAGCCCCAGAATGGCCTTACTGCAGGTTTGAACGGTGCTGAGAAGCAAGTTTCCATGAGTGGGACGAGCAAGAAGCTTGTTCATGTAACTCCACTTGGTCTCTTCCATGATTTGCAGGTCGACTCTGGTTCCACTGTGAAAGGGTCCCATGGCCACAAACTGAGGTCTGTAGTTGTAATCTTTCTCTGTGTCGTTGGCTTGTCGAATTTTCTCTGCAACTTTCGAAATACAGCATGCCTTTGCTTTGCTGTGATTCACGGATCCCAGCGTCATTTGAATATCAACGATCCATTGATCAGATGGTGCCATTGTGAATTTGTGAATGTATATAGCCGGCGGAAGCACGAAATCAAAATAAAATGGAAAGAAAGACAGAATGGGAAATCAATTCCAATGTATCATGTAACACCAGGAACTGATCAATATCACTTCACTCGCTTGATTCCCGCTTCGCCAAAGTCTATCTGCTGTGTGCTCTTGTGAGCGCTTTTATTTGTATCGTAACCGGACATACATAGTCACTCCTCGCCAGGTCTTCCCATACTTCGCTCCAAAGCATTGCGTTTGATTTTTTTTTTTTTTTTTTTTTGGGAAAATGACCGTGAAGCCCACAAAACATTAAAAACACCCAAAAATTCCATAAAATCACTAAATATTGTCAAGTCCTAGAGGACTTGGGGTGAATTGATTATATAATCCTATTTCGTGGGCACGTCTCTTGATTATATAATCAATTCCAAATTTAAAATTCTTACATTTTTCATTTGAAAGTGATTATATATTCCTATCTTACACAGTCTAAAACTACTATTACGTTTATAAATTATTAAACTAATATTTACTTAAATTTTTTTTAATTTTAAACAAGTTAAAATCTAGCATAAAACTTATTCACTCTTAAATTCCTTGAGACCTAAAAGATATTTAATAATTTTATGGGACATGTGGCTATTTTCAATGTCTCTGCTGTACTTCATGGTGATTTTCTCTTTTTCTTCGTATTTAGCTTTGCCAAAAGGATAATTACAATGAAATGATAATTTGATATCATGAAATGTGATAATTATAATAAAGTTCTAAGAAACTTATTTTAGGTTAAATTTTTGCATGAAATTACTTTAGCACCCCTTTGCAACTAATTTTATATGATTCATAAGTTTGGTATAAATATTTGTAAGTTTGGTTCCACCAATAACTAAATAATTTAAGAAATCACAATTTTTTATTAGCAATTTTTTTTTAATAAGCAAAATCCAAATAATTTTATATGTTTACAAGTTTGGTATAAATATTCACAATTTTCATTTCACCAATGACTAAAATAATTTAAAACATCACAACTTTTTATTAACAAAGTTCAACTAATTTTATATCATTTATAAGTTTGATATAAATATTTACAAATTTGATTCTACCAATAACTAAAATGATTTAGAAATTCACAAATGTTTAAATTGTAGAGATATACTAAAGTAGAAATTCCTTGGGACCTCACTATGTTTATCACATTTTACATGATCAAATTGTTATTTCTTTATTTTAGAGAGATTTATTTGTCACTCCCCCTTTGTTAAATTCGCATAAATATTTGTTAAATTTATTTGAAAAAATATAACTTTGGATTCCCGTATTTTGTTCACATTTTGTTATTGATCTCTACACTTTTTTTTTGTGTTTTAAGTCCTACACTTTTGTTTTTAAGTGTTTTAGGTCATTTTACATATAAAGTGTAGAGATCTTGAAAGGACATAAAATAACAAAAAATAAAAATATAGAAATCTAAAATACCGAAAAAATGTAGGGATCAATAGCAAAACACAAACAAAGTATAAGAATCTAAAGTTATGTTTTCTCTCTTTTTTTTAAAAAAAAAAATAAAGCATCGGCTGTAGTGATGCAAATAAAAACAATAATGTGAAACAAACAAAAAAAACAAAAAACAAAGAAAGAAAATCCATAAAACTCGATTTCCAACCATCTTCCATGTGACAATTACTTTTATTAATGTTAATAAAAACTCAAGTTGTAAGTTAAAATTTTATATGTTATATTTTATTTTGAAGCACTTACTTGAAAGATTAAAAATATTGCTAATTAATAGCAAGGGTATGGAATCCATGCAATTGGACTAAATAATAAGAATGCGTAAAATGTGGATCCAGATTAATTGGGGGCAATTAAAATAATACAAAATTGAAGTCAACAGTCCACAAGTGACGACTCATCTTGCATATTCTACTACCAAAGTATCAGTACGTAATTCAGCCAGCAGAACAGTGAAAATGTGTTGGTTAAAATGAAAGTAAACTGGCTCCCAACATACATCGTATGAGGCCAAATCTAGTTAAAACAAAATCTCCTAAAAATTTTGTATAATTTAGTAGAATTAATGAGAATTTGTACCATTACATGGAAAGTTTTGCGCATTAATAGTGAATTTTTAGAACAGATCAAGATAGATTTAAGGGTAAAATGGTAATTCAGCCCTTAAATTATATGTTTATGAGTATCTGACCATACCCTTGGTTCCGTGGCATTTGCACCTCCAAAATATTTAAAATCGTGACAATCTTCTCCTAATATTAACTTTAATTATTAATTAATTAGAAAATTATATAAAATAACCCAAAAAAATAAAATTAGTAAATTTTGATTTTTTTATAATTTTTGTTAACTAACAATTAAAGTTAATGACAATGAGAAATTGCCACGATTTCAAATGTTTAGAGGTGAAAAGATAAAAGAAAATTAATTTATAATCTTAGATACTTCTGGGTAGCTAGGTCTATAATTTAAGGGGCTAGATTATTATGTTACCCTTGATTTAATTTGTATGATTTTAGTAGAATTAAAGAAAAGTTCCCGTAATTTACTCTTTGTCATGAGATGATTTTATATATGTGAAGAATATAAATAAATTAAGAAAACATAATCTCTAGTTCCTACAGCTTAATCAGATTTTGCTTTTAGTCTTTATAATTTTTTCAGTATTTTCAATCCCTATAGAGATTTATAAAACAAAGGTTATGTAATCTTTTTAAAACTATAGAAATTGAAAGCATCAAAAAAAACTACAAAAACTACAAACAAAATCGGATGAAATTATAAAGATTAAAGATTGTGTTTTCTCTTTAAAAAATAGCAATGTCATGAAAAACGAGAAAACCAAGACAAAGAAACCACAAAAGAACGAACAATAAAAAGAAAAGGACATTAAAGCACATAACACAGTTTGGATTTTGGAAACATTTTGTGCATTAACTAAAAATAATGTGACTTGATGTATCTTTATTTTTTATTGGAGAGAACATATGCACTACTGATTGTGCACCAAAGAATTTATCTTTAGACATGTAAGAATCGCAAAATAACTAATAAGAGTATAACTTAACTAAGAATTTGGATTCGGATTGATCCAAATCTACCCATTCAATGTCTCAATTATAATAATTAAATTTTATTAGTGCTTGAAAATTATTGAGATATTTTTTTCAAATATTTAAAATAATCTTCACAATCAAAATATCTATCATGCATATTGTCCCCTAGCCCTCAAAAATTCAAATCAACCACTAATCTAATTTGTGACCTGAAATGATTTGATCTATGAGATTTGATGCTTAATCAATCGTGTTATCATGCCACACGTGGCAGCAGTGTGAATTTATAACACTCGATCGGTCCAAGTTTTTTAATTTATTGTATTAAATGATAGTTTAATTTTATTTATAGGGATGACCTGGTGAAGTGAGATGAAAAGTGTCGGCATAAAAGGCAGACTTGAGAGAGGGTCTGACATCATATTGGAGGTTGAATTTGAGGGACGACCAATGTGCCCTTCTACAAGAGACGATGAACGCAAAAGAAAAATCAATGAATGCGAGAACTTAGTGAACGGAACGCTGGATGGAAACGAAGATAATGGCGCAGATAATAAGAGGCTTAAAACGGCTCATTCCGGAGATCCTCAGAACAAATCGCTTCCATCATCTCCCGGTAGTATAACCAGTTCTGTTCATGACGGACAATCTCCGCCGTCCATTAAAAGCAAAGACTCTTCTAAATCCCTGGCTCTCTGTGCAAACAGCAGCAGCAGCCTCTCTTTCTCACCTGGTGAGTCGTCGTTTTCTAATGTGTGCGTGCAATTTATATATGATCATACCCTCTTCTTCTTCTTCTTTGGCATTCGCTTACTGAACTTCAAATGATATATGACGCGTGGAATCTGCGGTAGACGAAACTGGAGTGACGTACCTGATAAATGAGGCTCACCGAGAGAGTATAGTGAAGCGGCGGCTGAAAGATCTGTGCCGTATTGAGAAGCCCACAATCAGTGAGGGGATAGAGATGGTTGGTGCGGTGTATCTTTTGAAGCGCACGAGTTCCTCATCTGATGATTCTAAATCTGAAACCGCCATGGAACAGGCCGTCGAGGCAGCAAAGGTGTTGTTTGATGCCGAATACATCATCAACAAGGGGCTGAAACTACTCTCAGAGAGCCAAAAATCGTTTAGTGAAGCCCTCTAATTCACTGTCTGCATTTGCAACTCGCAAATGATAAAGCTTTAATTTACCTTTCCAATGTTTCAATAATGTTCTACTAGTTCTCTCTCTTTTGTTCAATCTTCTGTGTGTAAGAAGTTTCTGGCTTCTGCTATATGAATAAGAGGGCTCTATTTTCCTATTCTTTGGCTATTCATATTCAATTAGAGTACTTGGGGCATATATTAATCTTTAACCACTATTGATGGGAGTTGGCTTTCCTCTTTTATAGAAGAGAACAGAGGAGGAACCACTATGAGATTTAATAATTTAGATTTGATAATTCTTAAAAGTGTAAATTTAATTTAAACAGATCAGATTTTTAATGAAGTAGTGAAGAAAAAAAGAAGTTGAAAGCAACCCCCTTTATTGAAGGGATACGCTTTGGTAGCTAGAATCATTGAGCTAACATCTTCAGTGACCATATATACAATGAAGTTAAGTAAGACAGTGTGAAGTCTATTGCATATGAATTGAAAATAGTATGTTGTCTAAAGGTAATTAAAGGTATGGTTTGATTCGATTTTAATTAAAATGTGAACCAAGCTAAATCAATTGGTTTGCACAAAAACTGACATTTGATCGGTTTTTCATTAAGGTCAATTTGGTTTGATTTTTAGGCAACTTGGTTCGGTTTGGTTCATACATGAATCAAGTTTCAATATTTTTTTAACTTTTTTTCCTTTTATTCCAACATCAAGTCACATTCTTAAATTTATTATTTATGAATGAAAATTAATATCATATCAAAAATAAAAATATTCAAATGTTGTTATTTATAAACAGTAGAATATGCGCATTGTAAATAACATCGACATGAGTTAAATTTCATTACAAATTATCTTAATGTCTATAATAAAAAAAACTTATTTTAAATAAATAAAAAGGAAAGATGCTTCAGAGGCAAGTCATAATGTATATGACTCTCATTAGTTAGCAACGACAATACACTTCTCTTTAATCTGAGCCATCTTTTACTCCAAAAGCAATTAGCAAATTAAATTGAGAAAAGTAGGATAAGGGATTCTATTAGTTTTCTGGGCTTGGGCTGGATTTTAGTTGAGATTAAAATTTAAAAATAATAAACACTAATTAAAGTTTAATATCAAGTATAAAAAATATACTTAAAAATATAAAAAGATATGGTTAAGATTTCAAAAGGCAAAACTATAACTTAAATAAAACCATTTAGTTTTAATTTATAAAATCAAACCAAACCGTATTAATGATCAATTATATGCAATTTTAATTGGATTGGTTTGGTTTAATCAATTTCATTAGGTTTTGCTCACCCTTAAACTTTGTTTGGTTGAAGAGGATGTGAGAGAAGGTAAGGGGAGGGGAGGAGGAGGGGGGGAGGGTTTGGAGTCCCCCCCCCCCCTCCAACCAACCAAAAACTCCAAAAGAATCCCCCCCTCCTTCTTCTCTCCCTCCCCTCCTCTCCCCTCACCTTCCCTTTTCAAAACCTTCCCCCCCTCCTCCCCCCACCTTCCCTTTGGTTGGAGGGGAGGGGAGGGGGAAATCCCTTCAATTTGGGGAGAAAATTAGGACAAGGGGAGGGGAGGGGAGGGGAGGGAAGGAGCTTTCATTACCTTGTTTGGTAAGATAAAGGGGAGGGAGAATTTTTTAAAATCTATTTTCTCCTTCCCTTCAACCAAACACTAATTTAATGTTGTTTAAATATGAATAAATTTAAGTCAACGTGAGAAATTTTATATAAGATAAAATTGAACTTCATATGACTAATTAATATATAATGAATGACTCATAAAATTGAGCTTATTTGATTTGTTTTGAGTTGAGAGCTAGTGTATTTTTACTTTCTTTAGTGTATTTTTGTTCCTTTCTCCCATTTCCAAGCTTTGCGCCTCTTCCTAACAAGAGATATGCGTGCATGACTGTGATTTGGATTTTGATTGCATGTTCATAGTATATATCAATCCAGTTGCAGAACATGAAGCATTGGATCTGATTAATATTTCAACCGGAATTGTCACCATAGGTTGTTTATTTGCTACGACCCAATTATTCTACTCTGCCTTTATTTTATTTTATTTTTTTTTTTGCCGACAGTATGCCATTGTTGAGTTAATCGATCGAGTTTGAAGAATCTCATCTCAAAAAATAAACAAAATCCATTTCAGTGCTGACTTTGGGGAGATGATCTTCACTTAGGTGTACAGATCTCTGCAAATTTGTAATAATATAATTTAAACAATAGCTTGTGTTTTAATAATCAGCAACTACTGGTGCACTTTAATTAGTTGCTCATCATCTATTCTTTGTTAATGATATTATATTATCAGCCTATATAGTCAGCCAAGCGTTCACATTAACATTTCTACTCTTTTTTATGGGGCGCGCATTATTGACTGAACGATCGGAGTAACGCTACTCGAAATATAATATAATAAAATCAAAATGCAAACCTCTCTGGACTAGTGATTTTTTAAAAAAAAATTTTCTAGATTAGTGTTCAGTAGTCCTTTTGGAATTCGATTTTTATAGATTTTATTTTTTTGATTTATTTTGCATGCACTGCATACTCTGTAACACACACAACAACAATATACAAATCAGATCTATGACTCAAATCTTTATTTTTTGGCCAAACAATCTGAAGCATAGATCTAAAATTCTGATAAAGAACAAAACCTTTTTTCTTTTTTCTTTTGTTTTTTTTTTTTGGCAGTAGGTTAGAAGAACCAGGGAAGTAGGTAGTGTGTCAGTGTCAGAGTTTTACATTAATCACAAAGTAAAACCGATCATTTATACAAAAATAGTTTAAGCTACTTTTTGGAAGCACTTACCATACACTTGTATAGTTGTGGTTAAATCTCTAATTACACAATGTGAGACTATCACACACACATCTAATAGGCAGGGGATGGAGGTGGCATCGCGAGTTCTGGTGTCACCGAAGAAGATGATGGGGAGATTAATTATTCTGGTGAAGGTTGATTCTTTTGGGAATTGGGTTATCTGCTGCGCTCTTTGCTGCCTCTTGTAATGCCTAAAATATCAAACCTTTATTAATTTAAGGTAATTGTCAGAGAAATTTCATCTAATTCCCCTAAATGATGGGTTGAGATTTTAGGTATTAGGGAATGTAATAGGGAAGACCGGACACGTCCCAAATCTAGCTGTTGCTGCTGCTGCTTTTTGAGAATTATATTAAAATTTTATAAAAAAATTAATTATTGTATCATTAACAACTGAACTAAGGCTAAAGATATTGCATTGACAATGACCTTAATTAATTTAATTATTAATAAATTTTATAATAATTAATTTTTTTATGTGAAAGATGAATGTAATTTTTTTTTTTTTTTGCCATGTTCACAGTATAGTGTGCATCAATCCATCCTCTCATGGCTACCACAGAACATGAAACATGGGCTTTGACTAGTTAGAATTTAAATTTCTTTTTTTATCTTCATCTGAAATTTGCAGTTGCTTTTAGTCTTGTTTAAATATTTTGATGGTGGTGGTAGGGCATTCAGAAAAACCATTATATGCCTAAGGTCTTTATTCATAATAAAATTTTGAGTGTCAATTACTAAAATCCTAGTCCCATTAAAAAAAACAAATTAACCGCGTCGGTGGCTAGATTGATGCCGAAGCTCTAGGGTGACACGATGTTCAACATTTTTAAGGTGACTAGGGAATTTGAATCCATAGCCTGTCCCCTTAGTTAATTTCAAAAGTGTTGTTTTTAAATCCCTATAATGAAGTTGTTAAAATTGAGCAAATGACTTGTTAATCTTGTACTGCTCATTCACAGACTTGTCAAATAATTATTACTTGTGTCAACGGTCGGTTGTTTTAGTGGCAATACCACTTCCCTCTCTTAAAAAGATTTTTAAGTTCATGCTTGTATGTGTAGGTGCATGTATCTTCCTTTCTTATAAAGAAGGATTAGGTTAGGGGTAAAATTAAAAATAATTATGACTTGTGAAATTTAACACTTCAAATTATTAATGTCAAATTATGATTTATCAATATTTAATAGACAAGTTGTCAATACTCAAATACCCATTTATCTGATTATATAGCAGTTAATTATATGTCAGTTATGAGTTGACTTCTTTTTAACTTTTTTTTGAGAAAGAAAACTGAATTTTATAAGTATTAAATTAAGAAAAACAATTCAAAGGAATCCTCTCTAGAGAGTAGCAAATCATATACCATTTTTCCCAGATTTGTGCCACAGGGACCTAATCTTTTATTTGATCTTTTTTTCCTTTTTCTTTCTCATTTCTTCTATTAACAAGTACTCTTTCCAATTCAAATTGTAAGATATACATTTTTTTTAATTTAACTTAGTCCAAAAAAAAAACATAACTTTAGATCATGTACTTTGCTCGTATTTTATTATTAGTCTCTATATTTTTTTTTTTGTACTTTTGATCCCTGCATTTTTCATTATTTAGGTACCTCTATAACCAAAAACATTGAAAAAATGTACAGGAATCAATAACAAAACATGAATAAAATACAGGAATTTAAAATTATGTTTTTCTTATTCCAAAAATATACGACACTTAGTATTTTTTTAATATTATTTTTACAAATTTAACCTTGTATTGATTAAGGTGGGCATTGTGAAATATCATCTCACTAAATATTTCTTCTTACTCAGGATTAAAAGCAAAAAAGGGAAAACAATATCAATTTTCATGAAGGTAAAGAAAAAATTATTACGTAAAATAATAATTAGAAGTCTTTTATAATTTGAGCCAGAAGAGGACAAACGTAATATCGATGTTTCAAAAAAAGATCAGCATCTATTATCAACATAATACACTCCTTATTCACACAAACACGTTCCCCACTTTCCCACCGTCGATGCAATCCACCTCGGCTAACAAATCCTTATTTAACAATCATGAAAACGTAAGCTTAGGGCTTTAAATCATTTTACATTATTTACTTGCTCTAACTAGCTCCCATCATTGGACAAACAAGTTGACTTATTCTCATCTCAAGAATTTAAATTAATCTCACCTAATTAATAAAGTATTCTCAATTAATATGCATTCACATGAACCACACGTTTAATACTCCCTTTCGTCTTAAATATAAGGTTTTTTGTTTTGAGAATTTTGATTTGATTTTAAATATAAGATCTCATTTTCTTTTGTCTCTTATATTAATGTTTTCTTTTCCATAATGTATAATCTTATTTATTGCAACATTTTTTATATCTATGCGTTAAATTTGAGTCATTAAATAGTTGGGATATTTTTTAAAAAGTATCACAAATTTTTCAGATATTAATTACAACTAATAATCAATGTATTCCTTCCAAACTAATATAAGTCATAGTTAATCAATTCACAACTTATAAATAATATTAATTGACATCTTAAATTCTTAAAAATATTCACACTTGTCTATTTATACTCTAATTATGTATCTTATATAAGAGACATAATAATAATAATTAAAATTTTAATGCATAATTTTTTAAAAGGAATAATAAATGAAGTGGAAATATAATTGAATAAATAAATGTAAAAATTATTTAATATTTTATATTTTAGATCAGAATTTTTTTTTTTTAAAAAAAAACATCTTATATTGTGGTCCCCGAGTAGCACTTACTTTTCTTAATCAATGACGGTTGAGATTTGAGATGCTGACCTTGTGGAAGTGACGTCATATATATGGCGCGGGTTTAAAATGAAAATAAAATAAAATAAAAGCACGACCTGGAGTTTCTAGATTCTAATAATTTTTACACTAATTGGTTGGGATCTACGCGCCTCATTGTTTGGTACAATTATTTAAGATTAAAATACATAAATTTTTTTTTTAAATTTTCAGATAGTTATATATAATTTTTTTATAATTAAACGTTCAAAATCAATCCCTATAATCTTTAATTTTACTTTTTTAAAAGCCCTAACCATTACTTACTCTATTATGTTATTATTAGAATTTGTCATATTAGATTAAGATCAAAATGACATTTTATTTAAGAAAATAATAAATGTGTAAAAATTATACTATTTATCCATTTTTTATTATCAATTGTGCATAATTTTCTTATATTAAAAAATAAATTGTTATTTATATAATTATTATCAATGGCAACTTTTAGATATTTTTTTCATTTGTTTAGGATAAAATATTTTTTTCATTGATAAAGAATAATAAAATTATAATTTTTCTCTTCTACTGTGATAACAAAAAACAATGTAATTCAATTAAAAAAAATAAGAGTATCATTTAAAAGCAAAATTACACTTTTCCCCTACTTAAATTGTGTTAAAAAAAATTAATATTTTTTATAGCATGTGTCATGTGTATTTCATTTATGTAACATGGCAAACTTTGTTAATAATATCATAGAGTTAATTAATGGGAGGAGGCTTTGAAAAACAAGATTAAAAGTTGGAAAAATTAGTTTGAAATGTTAAAAGATGAATGGGTCATTAGCAAATGTCTTAAAGTACGGAAGGTTTTATATATTTTAGAAATTATTTAATTGCATGTTCTAGCTGTCATTATTTGGTTCAAAACCATTGTTTACAATTACATAATTAAAAACCCTATTTTATGACTGTTGGATCAAAGAAGGAATTCGATTTTCTTAAAACAGGGTTCAAGACTTAAATATTGTAAATTCAAAAACTAAGCTTAATGCACGCAAGAAATATCTATCTGCCATCGGAGGGAGACATTAGCAGAATTACCAACAAGATTGGATTTTGCATCTTGAGGACCTTTATGAGAACAACTCTTGGGCCTCACAAAGGTTTTAGCCCAAGAAGTCTTTCATACTTCAAAAACCAATGTATTGGGCTACAAATAAATGCAGGCTTTAGCAGATTAGTTGGGCTACGCTCATCAAACTTCACTGCTTCAGAACATGCACTTGAAATTTTAAAAAAAAATAAGCTAAACTAAAGGTTTTATATTATGAGGCGGAAGAGTGCTTGTAGATTTTCTCCAGGAAGAACGCAAGGAGCGAACTTCTTGCAGTTTGGCCTTGCTGGAAACATCTAATATGTTGCTCTGCAACTGGAAGGTGGAGATTAATTATGTCCCTCGTGATCAGAATTATGTTGCGGACACGTTGGCAAAAAGAGGAATAGATGGATCTGATTTTTTTGATTCTGTTCCTTTTTTAACCTCGAGGACATTATGCATAAGGAGGCTATGGGGTCTCAATCTCCAAACGCTGTTTAGTTTCTTTTTGTAATTGGGCTTAGCCCTCTTTATTATAAAAAAAGGGGTTTTATATGTTTTTGGGGAACGCGCTAGAACTGTAAAAGTGTGAAACGTTTTATGTAGATCATCCTCTGCAGTACCTATAAACTCTATTAAATTTCTTCCTAATTCCTATCTGGTCATCTGTTTAGGTTTCTTTAATGCCATAATGCACTATTTTTTAGCTACCTTTCCAAATATTTTCTTGGTTCCATTCTGTGATTCATACTAGTTTAATTTGGTGGAATCACCCAGATTAGGATATGCTTCCAAACTTGAAAAGCATTTATAGAGATATTTAGGAATTACTCACCAACAAGGTGGTCAAATTGATAGTAAGATTTGAATATATAATCTTGTAAGTTATAAATAAAATCCTTATTAGCTGAACTAATTTGTATAAGTTGTTTTTGGTTGTATTCTATTCAAAGGCCAATTTCAGTTTAAGTGCCTCTGTGTGTGTTCATTTACTGAGCAATTTCTAAAATTAAACATTAATACACTAAAATTAAAAAAAAAATTCTACAATCCAAATATCACCAAAATTTGTATTTACTACAATTTTTTTAATATGCAAGGGAACATAAATCCAAAACATGATACAAAATTAATGAAGTTACAATAGAAGACCTAATCTTTTCATTATCCGTCATCTCTTGACAAAAAGATAGTAGTTGACTAAAAGCACATAAAAACTCTCCATAAAATCCAAAATGAACACAAAAATTTGCCTCTCTATACATAAAGTTCAAAGATATTATTCTAAAATAAGTCAAACAATCTCTAGCTTGTTCAATCATACCTCTAATAAAGGTTGCTTGCCATTAGATCTAGTAAGGAGGTTAATTGCCTCACCACAATCAATAAACACATGGACCCTGTGTAGATTTAGTTGGTTGCACATGTTGAAACTTTGAATTATACCAATAATCTCTAGAGAATAATGACCAACATTATTAGAGGTGAATGACCGTTGAAAGTTAATCTTTACCATATTTTTAGAGAGAATGACCATTAGGTCTTACAAGATCAACGTAAGACTATTAAGTTTCAGATAAAATTTTCTAGAAAATATATTATAAATATTGATTCAGATAATTATAAATGCAATAAATTTCAATTACAAATAAATTATTCAAATTTTAAATATAACTTTCAATTCAAAACTGTTTGAATCAATATTTATTTTATGTTTTCAAAAAAAAAAATCAAAGACTTGACAACAACAAAAAATCCAAAAACTACTATATGGGGGAAAATTGAAAAGTACTTAAAATATGGGTTTAACATTAATTTGTACATTTTTTATAAGCAAAATAAAAAAAATTCTCAAAATTTCCAAAAAAACCAATGAATTGGTGGGCAGAGGAAGCACCCCCTTCTTTAAGGACCTAACTATCATCAAATTGATATTTTGGATTAATGTCATTCTCCCATGATTTTAAGGCAAAATAAAATTATCAATGAAGTATAAAACATTGATTTTATTTGTAATATAATAAACAAAAATTGCTTTCAGACTTATCCAAAAAATACAATAAACAAAAATAGTCAAATAATTATATTTCTGAATAAGAATACAGATCACATAAATTTATTTTAACTCTCAATAAAATTATAGTAATAATCGATTAAAGATAAATAAAGCATTTCAAATTATTGGCCGATCCCAAACATATGAAGGAACCGCCAGTATAGTTTGGGAGCTCAGAGAATTAATTTAGTGCCATTGTTCATGTTTTGAAGGTACTTGTCCTTTTCCTGGTCGGTCATGAAGGAAGTGATCGGAAAAGACTTTCCGATTCCCATCGGAGTCTTGAACAGTATCTTAGTGGCATTCGTGTCGTCGTCGAGGCTCATCTCCGTGATAGGAACCCACACGAACATCTGCTTGCTCTTAATCCCACTCATCTTCTTCATCTTCCCCTTCTCGACGTAGGCAGTCACCTCCGCCGCGTAGCTCACCCTCGTGTTGGTGGCCTCGAACATGTGCTCGTACGGACCTTTCTGCTTCATCCACACGAAGCCTGTCTCTCGAACCCTACCACACTCCACCAGGTCCTGCAATGGAAGCACCCCTCGAGGAAACCCTAGTTCTTCCAGGAGCTCTACGGAGTGGCGATAGCATTCTTCTGAGCCATACACGATCTCTGCTCCTGCACGCTCCTCTGTTATTGATTTGCGGCTCGCCATTTTGGTGTAATGTTGATTAGTGATTCAAACCTTTAAGATCTGAAGGCCTTATGGTTTTTTTTGGGTGTGGGGTGGGTGCGGGTGGGGGTGGCTGTATATATATATATATATATATAATGATTAAGAAGAGAATAAGAGGAAGGTAGTTGGGTGGAGGTTGAGCAAATTGGACTACTGCTGCTGAAGTGGTTCACCCAACTGCTCCACCGTACCACCATAAACCCTATGCGGGTTTGGAATTTTGTGAATTTGTCAGCACTTAGATTAGATGTCAAAATTCTAATCATGTTTGGTATTAATCTGCCATGTATTTGAAAGCTAACTCTATTGGTAAGGGACTGCTTGAGTTGAGGTCATTACAAGTCTTGTATTAATTAAAGTTAAATTTAATAATTAATATAAAATAAAAAAATAACCTGTACATTTGAATTTTGAAATTTTGAGTTTAAATACAGCATCCTACTACTCTTCATCCATTTCTTCTCTCTCTTTTTTTACAGTTGCTTCTTGTTTTTAACATCTACAAAGTTACGTAGAATAACCCAACCGGATAGGAAGTTATACTATAGCTGAAACAATAATTTTAGGTTGGAACTTTGAATATACAACTATACTGTTTAAATCTACCTAAATTAGTTGGAGGCCCAGTATAACTACGACCAGATACCAGGAAATAAATGCTGGCAATAAAAAATATAGAATAAAAAAATAAATCAACCGGGACTTGAAGAGAGAAAAAATCACAAATTGTTTTGATTATAGTCATAAGGAAAAAAAACACAAAAATAAAACAAAAAAAACGAGAAGAATAACTGTTAATCGTATATCTAATAATAATATAACACGCTAAAAACACTAAATAGAGGGGGAAGAAATAGCTTGCACTTTTCGCATTCTGAGTTTTCACATTTGACACGTTTTGAGCAATATAACTAGAACAGATTACTGAAATACCTGGTTGTCATTTAATTAAGATGCTTCACCTACTTGGTTATTTTTGCCGTTAGAAACAAGTAAATATTTTTTTACTACATCTATTATACTATTAGAAGCAATCCTCTTCATGGCACCACTAAGTATTAAATATGGGCATCTCTTTTAATAAGAATATGAATATTAGTTCATCATGTCGTGAATAAATAACCTATTCCACTACACTCAATCACCATTGATAATAGATTTTTTTTTTTTGGTAAAGGAAAAAAAAAGTAAATATTAATCTAGGTGACTGTGACAACACGCTTCACTCGGGTGTGGATTGTTGTTTTCATATTGGAACATTGTTTGGGTCATCATTAGAAAAGTCCAGTAACTTCTCATTTGGGCTTGCGGCGAACAATTTGGGGTTCTGGGCTGTTATTGGATTGGCCTCACAGTTTGTTTGCCACGTGTAAACTATATGGGAACTTTTTAAAAAAAAAAAAAAACCCATACGGTGCATGCTCAGTTGACACTTGAGAGTGGTGCATACTATATCAGTAGTTAATTATACAATAATTAAATTAAATAAAGTAAAATTTCAGAAAATAAAGACTACTTTCATGCAAATAAATTAATTGATAATTTTTCATTAATTGTTTACTTCATTGGACTGTATGAGAGTCTACTTAAAAATTCTCCATGCTCCTCTCTATGCATACACTAACGAGGATTTGTTCAATGTGTATTGATTTAGCTTCGCGCGCTCTCTCTCCAACGTAGATTTGCTCTCTTTAGCCAATATGAAATATAGAAAATATAGAAAATGTGTATCATGAATTTGAAATTTCTGGCAAAAGAAAAGGAATAATAATAATAATAATGGGAATAAGGATAAACCGATAGGAACAAACAAGTTAAAGGGAGAGAGGTTCATGCATTATGATTTGTGAATATAACAAAAAAAAAAAGAAAAGAAAAAAGAAGAGTATTATAAAAAATAGAATAGTTAAGAATGGGCACATGACCAGCAATACATCCCACCCACATGCAACCCCATGTGAATGTTTGTAGGTCCATCCCCCCATTTCTATCTGTTCCCCCCTTCTTTTTGAGTGATTCGTGAACCAACCCAGATTCTCGGAGGAATTTCAGTTTAATTTATATACCATTTTTTTAATATTTCATTCATTCAACTTATTTAGATTTTTTTCCCCTTAAATTTGAGAGAGAAATATTAACATAAAACCCCCCTCTCCATAATCGATATAAATCAGATTTTTTTAAAAATATTTAAAGTTAAGAACAATACTACTCCTTTTCCTTAAATATTGACATACCATATGATTAGACGATTTATGTCGGTAATTTTGACTAATTATGTTTTTTTGAAAATAAAATTAGAGAGTAAAATTCTTGGTGATCCGTCGTGTTATTGCAAATTGTACGATCATGAAGGCATAATTTGATTTTGGAAGCATGCAAAGCAATAATGGCATGACAAGAAAAGAAACAAAATGGCAACGAAATCTTTATAAGATTTCCCCAACAAAACCCAAAAATAAACAAAACAAAAACAAAAAGTGAAAGAGAAAAGAAAATACTACATCATTTATAAGTGTTTTTCTTTCGAATGCATTAACCCATGCATTTATATAGCAAAGAAAATCACAACCACTAGACACACTATTTCTTTTCATCATCAACTAACAAGTTAAAAAATTACTATATAGTAATAAAAAAAAAAAAGGATTGAATATAACCCGGGAGGGAAAAAAAGCGCAACACACGTGAAATGAAAAAGGGGAAGTATCACTACTATTCCCCATGTATGATACAAAATATGGTAACTGTAAGACGGCAGTTTTCAAGGGTACAACTTCCATATGTTGAGACGGGCCAACCAGCACCTCCGTTCAGAGATGACGTGCGTGGGGGGGCGGTGCCGCCTTGGGCGGCGGCAGCCCTGACGGCTGGCACTGGTAGCACTTGGCAAAGAGCCCGAACGTGTCAATTTGCTTGATGAAATTGGTCATGCTGGCCCATCCTCCGAACCCAAATCCAACCACGAAGACCCAAACCACAACGAAGGCATTGAAGACATACATTGCGGTCCAGCTCGGCATGAAGAAGGGAGGCTTCTCTGCTGCGTTCTGCAGAAACAAAGGCACAAAATTTAAACAAACCGATGCATGCAATGCAAAATTCCTCATATCTCAAAGGAGTCAATAAATGGGAGTGAATTATTGGAAATGAGAGGGAGATGAGTCAAACAAGGCCAGCTAAAGAGAGCGCACGGTACAATAATTGAACTGTTGCGAATAACTAAACGAAAACGACGTCCCACCAGCCTCTATTCTTCTCGTAATATTTCCATATCCATGGCTTCCATGCTTTTGTTCACTTGCTGCGTCCTCTCTCATTCTCCACTTTTTTGAACTCTCTCTCTCTCTCTCTCTCTCTCTCTCTCTCTATGTCCATACCACTTTTAGTTACTAGCACTATCGTGTGTGCATAAAATATATAAAACCTGACAGTCCCCAGTCCCCACCAAACAGCAGGTAATGGGGGGAATGCGAAATGACAAGCATAGCCTTGAATGAAAGGAAAAGAAGATGAAGGAGATACCTGTCGGGCGGAGGCTTTTCTGTAGGTGAGCATGTGAGCGAGGGAAGGGATGATGTAGACGGTGAAGCTGACGAGGAGGGCGCCGACGGCAGAGTTAATGGGGCCGAAGAAGGGGAAGATGATGGCCAAGAACCAGATGGGGATGACGATGGGCAGCCTGGCCAGTGCTCTGAGGCATATGCTTCTGGTGTCATGCATCCCTATCACCTTCTCCCACACGAAGTACAGTGGCGTGCACGCGAACCCGAATGTTATGAACTGTTTCCACATTCCAATTTTTCATTCAATCTCACACTTCATCTTCATATATACGTGCATGTATATCATCTTATTTCAAAGCAGGGTGTCCGAATATAACATTTGGACTTGAACCATTGACAGTTTCATTTTTAGATAGATATAGATGGAAAGCATGTATGACTGACTCTTCACTTGCTATTAAACGAGACTCGAATAAATCAAGTATGTTTTTGCATGTGAATTGACCAAACAAAGACAACTGAGAAAAATCCAAGCTACAAAATGACACAAATTTAACCATATTAAATAACAGGAAACAAAGAGGCCCAATGGTTAATATATAATTTTATTATGCACTGCCGGCCCCTACCCTCGTCCCCACATTAGTTTAAAATTTAAAAAAAAAAAGATTAAAATGAATAAAAGGTAAATAAAGAGAAGGAAGAGAGGGAGGGGACAGGCCTGGTGGATGAGCATGAGGATGACGGCGGCGTCACGGAAGCGGGACTTGGGGAGGAGAGAGAAAGCGTTGGAGTGGGTGAGGAGCTGATCGCCGAAGGCCCAGTAGACGGCGGAGGCGGACGGAAGAGTGAGAGTGAAGACGTAGAGAGTGGCCAGCAAGTAGATGTACTTGAACTTCTGTGGCTTCCACATGGCGTGCATTATCTCCCTGCACAGTTCACACTATCATCCCACCAATTCATTCATTTCTTTCTTATGTCTCTATCTGTATTTATATTTCATGTGATCTGCTGTTTTGGTCAATTCACATATCCTTCACTTTATTCTTTTTTATCACTACAACCGTTTATTTTATATTGACTTCCGAATGTAAGATATTTTTCCACCGTTTACCTACCCCATCAAAACAAATAACAAGGATGAAAGGATAGGGTAAATTAATAAAATATGTTATATTTATTGTGTCTAAACGAAATTTCATGTCCTAGGAATATGTTGATTGACAAGGAGAAGGTCACAGTAAGATTTAAAAAATAGTTGATAGCGATGAAGTCCCAACAAAATTTTTTTAGGAAAAAAAAATTATAAATATCATTTAAATAATCATAAATTTAAAAGTTTTAAGTATAAATAAAACATTTAAAATCTAAAATAATTAGAATTTTTATTTGTAACTTTCTGAATAAATAATATAGGACACTTCTGAACGCCTTCATAATAATTAACAAAAGTAATTAGAAGTGATTTTTATCATTAAATGGGTAAAAAATTATTATTAGTTTCCATGCTTACCTTCCAAATAAAATTAATCTATCATAATTATTTTTATTTTCTTTCTTATATAATCTCTCTCTATCCTATAATTAACAAGGATGTTTGTAAAAGAAAAAAAAAATTAATATGCAATTTGAACCCTGATTTCAACCCTAAACTTTTAAAAAATATATTTTAAATCCTAAACAATTAAAATTAAGTCAATTTCACTCCTATCATTAATGTCCATCAAATTAGAATGTAATTTTCACTAAATAAAAGTAGGAGAGAGAGGAAAAATGAAATTTGAAAAAAACAATACATTAAACCTTAATTTGATAAAGGTTTGTTGAAATTTAACGAGACAAAATTATCCCAATTTTAATTATGTAGGATTTAGAATACACCTTTTAAAAAGTTTAGGCTTTAAATAGCTCCTAAACCTGTTCACAATTCAAATCATATATTAATCTAAAAAAATAATAATATTCACTTTTTTCCTTGCTTACCCTCAAAATAAAATTAATCAAAGTGTCCTACATGTTTTACCAACATTAGCGGATCGAAAATGTCCTATATGTTAGACTAGAGAAACAATTTACAACTTATATTTTAAAAAAAAATTTCAAGATCTAACTATAATTAATTTTATTTTTTTACGACTTTACTGTCCATGTTTGCATTAGATGTAAATTCACCATATGATACACATTCATGAATATTTTTGGGTTCGGGCTAAACTTTTATATATATATATATATATAATTTTTTATAATATAAACTTTTTTGGTAATGGATGAACTTTTATATTTTTAAAATGTGAACCTTTTAAAGGAATTGCTTACTAAGGGAGGTGAAATTTTTTTACAACATTAATTGCCCATGGTAAAAAACACCAAGACTTGAAAATTTTTAAATGATAAAGCTACAATGGTAAAGAAAAGTGAAAAATGCATGATGTTGTCTGTGATGTGGGTCTGGTAATCCTAGATGGCAGGCAAAAGCTGCGAAGAGAAGCCGTGTAGACACTGAAGAAAGAGAAACGCGCGACGGAAACAAAGGAGAATTATGCAGCCAAAACAAATAACGGAATTCGATTCAGCTTACACAGTAACGGCGTGCCCACCAAACGTGTATAGTATATTAGTTGCTCCGGTGAAGTACAGCACCAGCTTCGTTGGACCCGAGTGAGTCACCCCCTCTGCCTGCGACACCAAATCACCATAAGATCTTTTTCGTACATGTACAGTTTCTCCGTCGCTATTCATTATGAATAGTAACAAACCTGGCCGTGAACAAGCGCTGCTATTGTTAGATACCAAGCCGTGTAAGTGGTCATTCCCAGACCCAGAAATGACCAGATTCGATAGTTGTGAAACGATGGTATGAACACAGTGGTTGCACAGCAAGCTCCAAATATGTATGTCCAAGTTCGTTTGTCCAATTTGTCGTTTATGTAGTAGATGTTACTGCCATGAATCCAAACGCCGGCATGAAATTTTGTTTCAATTGGAAGAATTAATATCCACTTCAGATCAACCAACTGAGGATCGGGAATGGAGGCAAATTAAGCTCATACCTTGCACAAGCTATGAGCTGAATCACGGATCCGAAGAGGAGGAAAGTACAGTTGAAGGCCAGCCCCACTGCTTTCCAATACGGACCCAGCAATCCATCAAGCACTTCGAACCACTGAAATCCCACCCAGAAAAAAGTGTGATTTTTTTTTTGGGAAGGCTTGGTGATTTAGGAATTAGAATCTTCACGACGAGAAGGCAAAAATAAAAAAATGGAGTCATCTACTTGCCTGGATGACATGGTTTTTGAAGCTAACGTTTTCCTTTTCCTTTCTGGTACGGTATTCCACATAGAGGACACTGATTAGATAAGCGGTCCAGCTTCCGATTAGGCCGTAAAATACTTGCAGCAATATACCCGAAAGCATCCCCAGTTGGGAGAAGGAATAGGGAAGCGTCAAGAGAACTTGAGCTACCTGTAAACGGCAAGATTTTGCTAATAATTAGAGAATTGGGAGATAAAAATAAAGTGAGTTGGGGAAATGGGTATTTTTAGCGATAGATATGTACCTGATTTGAAGCACAGCTGAACCAGGCGTCCCAGACGGAGCCGCCATGCCAGAGAAAGCTCTTGAGGGTGAACATGGAGTTATCTTGTTCCTTCTCTTCTTCCCTCACTGTGCCTCCATCATTCTCTGTTTCGGTGAGGTTGGTGACTATGGCTTCCTCTGCCTGCTTCTGAGGCACCATTGTCTCCGAAATACGCGAAAGGCAGGATCCAAATCTCCTGGCGGATCTGAAATTTTATATATTATGTTCACAGATAAACGACAGTAAATGAGACAAAAAAACGATGATCAAACGCAGCCCCAGAAAACGAAAGCCTATATAAGACCACCCCAGATCCAGATAACTGCGAATTCCCCTCCCCCCTCCCCCCAACAAACCGAAAAATAAACTCAAATCCTCTTATTCCCTCACACACAAATCCAAAAGAAAGTGGGGAAGAGAGAACAGAATAAGAAAAGTTTTACAGCAAGCAGGAAAATCCAACACAATACACTCATCGCTTTCCACTAACCTCGGTCGAAATGTCTCTTTCTCCTAAAGGTTGAAGAAGGAAACCGCAGATCTGTCTCCCAAAACAAAATGGCCTTTGCTTTCAATAATGCATTCTTTTACCTTCCTCTTGTTTGAGTTAGTTAAGTGCTCTGACACAGTTGGAGCAGCAGCAGTGATGCTTCAGAATTTACCATTCATGATGCACAGAGCTTCACAATAAAAGCCACCGTTTTAATGCGCCACTAATTTGCACAGAGAAGGGAAGTACCGCAACTCCAGAGCGGCGAGGAGACGCAAAAGCAGGAAAATATCAGAAATTGCAGAGACTGAACAGAAAGGACCCTTTTTCCCTCGAAAGTGTTCAACGAGGTACTGCGAGACGGGGCTGTATATTTAAGTAGGTAAATAATAAATAGATTAAGTATGGCTAAAAGCAAAAGCAGAGAGCGAAGCAGCTAGCTAAGCAAATGCACTATGCAATGCTTGAATGTGTTTGCGTTGTGGCTCTTTGTTGCGCTTACCTCTTTCTCTATAAATTTGTGGGGGTGGGTGGGGGGAGAGAGATGAATATTGAATACACAATTGAGTTAACTGTGTATTCCAAACTCCGAATCAATTCTTGGGGGTCTCTCGGTTTGTTGGTAACACAGAATTTCGGACGGAGACCGAAGCGAATGAGCGAGCGAAACGTTGTTCTGATCAGTAAGAAGTGAAACGAACGGAAGGCCTTCCCTTTATAAGCCCAAAAAAGTCGCTTCAACGGTTAAGATTCTCCCTCCATCAATTCGCTCCACAATTATTATAAATAGAGCCATTTCTTTTAATCTCGAAAACATTCAAGACCTAATTATATTTTTGAAGTCTAAAATGATAAATAAGGCTTAAAAGGATTGATTTTTTAAGCCCTCTTACTTTTTTTAAAAAAAATTAATATAAAAAAAAGTAAAAAAAATGAAAACTCTAGTCTGCTTTTTAATTTTTTTTTTTAAGCTCTCGTTCACAATTTCACCTTTCACACACGGAGTCGACTTTCTGAGTCTGTGATTTGCGATAGTGCAACTGTGACCTTGCTCTGTCGCCCTTCCTCTGTGTCTTGCTTCGTCTGTCAACTAGCTTTGGCCATGACCAATAGCAGCAACCCTCCTTTCCTCTACGATCTGTCACTATGCTCGTACTCTGTTCCTCATCCTTGCTCAGAGCTCAAGTCATCTGCTTCATCCCTCATCTATAGCATATTCACATTCATGCTTGCTCAGTCGCTCACTGCAAATAATAATGATGAAGAAGAAAGATATGAAAAATTAAATATCTTTGTCACTAATAAAGCTCCACAAGAAGAAGGATCAAATTATATTGATCTTGATAATAATAAAACTCATCAAGATTTAGTTAATGATGCCATCAAAATTTAATTATTATTAGTGTTACTTTCATAATGTTACTACTTTTGATGAAACTTAAATTTGTTATTATGTGTATTGTCTTAAAATTATTATGCTAGACTTAATATTATATGTAATATTATATTTTACGTCAGTTTGATTAAGGCCCTGGTCCTTTAAGGACCAGCCCTTTATGATTTGGCCGGCCCTAATTGATAGCACTAATTATAAGATTAGTACTATGGTTTCATATTTAATATAAATACCTTATTCGTTGTTTATAAATCTAATTCATGTGCTTGCGAGACAGCACCAGGGTTAATTTTCTTCTAGTTTTTTTTTTCATGGTTTCATTAAAAAAAAGGAAAACAAAATTATATAACTTTACTCACGAGAGAGATGCTTGATTCAACAATTTGAGAGGATGAATCAATTTATTTTTGAATTTCAAGTTCAATTCTTAAAATATACAATTGCATTAATAAATATGTAAAAAGAAATTTTTAAACATCTGTCAAGTCACCGTTATTTCACATTAAAGTAAGAATTTAAATTAGCATGGGTAGCAGGGGATAAAATTTTCAAGTTTTCCATAATATCAGGTGATAGAATAAAAAATTTGTTAATATTTAAAATAATATTTACTAGATGATGAGCCAAAAAGACATTCACTTAATGAAAACTTGTAATTCAGGACTAGCATGGAAGAAGTTCATATTAACGTTGATGAAAAGGCTACAATTACAAAGTTTTGCTTTCTAATGAGATTATCCAGTATTCTAAGTCTAAACTAAAGAACCTAATGAGATCTAAACTATTTCACATTGATCTAAAAAAATTATAAATGATGGAAAATCTCTCACACCAAGTATTTAATTTGTAACAAGATTATAATTTTAGAGATCTAACTTGAGATCTATAATTAAGCTAGTACAACCCTAACAATTAAATCTCTCACACCATTTAGTTTTGTTTATTGTTTATAATTTTTTTTTATTACTGACAGTTATGCTTGGGTTAACTTGATTGAGCGGAAGATTACAGACATGGCAAGATGATGGCATGCAATCTATTGTGTGTGGCTTCTAGGACAGCCAAAACAGTTAATTGGGTCTTTGACCATTATTGTTTAGCTTTTAAGTTAAGTAATTTTTTATGTTTTTAATTAGTTTAAAAATACAGTTGACGTTTCTTTAATTTCTACAGAAGATAAGAAAGTCAGAAGCTGTTTCCTTGTGGTCCAATTTTATGATTGTCTATGCTTCAGATTAGCACTAGCAGTACTAAACAAGGCTCAGATCCAAATCCTAGTTCATGGATTTAAATTCCCAATTAATTCTTTTCTTTAATGTGAAGAAATTAATTTTAATTAATGTTGTGGTTAATTAATTTGGCTAATACAGCACTAAAGTGGTTTCAAGTTTGATCAACCTCCCTCATGTCCCCGTAATCAACGCTATTAATTGGATGGTACTCAGTTCGAATCTCGACGCGCTATGCGTGGAGCACACTCTCTAACTCAAAGAATTAGGTGGCGGAGAGTGTGAACACGCTCGCGTGTGCGTGCGAAAACGACGCCTTCGAGGCAGAAGATGAGACTTTGAGAATTTAATAATAGAGGAGTGCAGTGCTAATAATTTGAGCCGCCAAGCCATCGAAACGAAGTTTGCTTTTCTTTTTTGCTTTTTTTTTTAAGCGCTTTTAAAGCGAAGTGCAGTTTCGGAGCACAGCGCGTTGCGTGACCTTTTTGACGAGATTTGGCTCAAGCCGAACCGCCATGGCCCCGCCACTTGTCCCACGCTTCTAAAAGACCACACGCGCGTCACATCCATTAACCACCCCTTTTTTCTTAATAAAATAAATCTCCCAAACTTTTTTTGTAAAAAAATATTACACCCAAATAGGCACACAAATTATAAAAGAGGATTAGAAAATATGATATGATAATTATTTTGAAGTCTAAAAAACTTATCTAACATTAATTTTTCACAAGATTACCATAGCAATACTCCCAAAATAAATGACAATTTTAGAATAACAAATAAGTACATTCATTAATGGGTTGACTAAAATAATAAGAAATGACTAAATATATTATAAGAACTACGTATATTTTTATTTTTTTTAAAATAATATTTATTTAAATTTTAAAATATAAAAATGGTCTATATAACTTTTTTAAATTTCACCCCTAACTTATTTCTTTTGTATAGGAGAGGCAGACGCATACCCTCTGCGCATTCAAACAAACATATCAATGCCAGTCATTGACAAACAAGTATTATTATTTAATGTTTATTTTTAAAAGTGTAGACAAACTAATAAAAACTCACAAAACAAATTTTTTTCAACAGATAAGTGATTTTTTTAATAAAATAAGTTAAAACAAACGGGCTCAAAATTTGGTATACAAATAAGTAAGATCGAAACAAAATGTGGGAAGAGAAATAGAGAAGGGGAAGGAATAAGAGAGAGGGAAAATGGAGGGGACAAAGAAGGAGAATGGGAATAGTGGGCATCCCACAAAAGAAAGGGCCAATATGAATTAATGGGCAGGGAGGATCCATGTTTGGAGCAAACTAAAATGTCCTCTGGACATCCCCAACCCCAACTTGCCTCCTGCATTTGGGGATTTGTCCCCTCACCCCCTTCCCTTTTTCTTTTTCTTTTTCTTTTAATCTCTGAATTATGTAATAATTAAACTAGAATTTAAACCTTCTTGTGATATAGAAAAAAATCCAGGGAATCAATACTCATTATGGTTTCCTTTTTTTTTTTGGTTAATTTTGTTTTTGACGTGGAAAAGTTCGGATGGAAGCAGTAAAAATGATCAGTGAGGCGGATTCTGTGCGTGTTGACCTAAAAAAGGAGTAGGAATGAAATGGGGCAGTGAGAGAGAGAGAGAGGGGTCAAAGGGAATAATAATATATTAAAAATAATAATAAAAGAAGGGGAAGGTGATTTCACTTAATTAATCACTTGGGGGCTTAGTGGGCAAAGCAATGATTAGGCAGTGAATGGATTTTGAGGCCACTAATTAAAGTGATTTCCCCCTTCAGCATCAAAACTCGGAAGGTGTTCCATTCGTGCCCTCCATTTGGGACCCTTTATATATATATATATATATATATATACACACTTCTTCACTCGTGTGCTTTTACAAAAATAATTCTCCCTCCGTTTTCATTCATAGCACAATTTTGCAGGGTGATTTATTTTTTATTCATAAAACAAGTTATGAAATTTCAAGAAATATTTAATATTTTTCTTAATATGTCCTATTAAATGTCTGAAATATTTGATATAAATAATGCCTTCTCCATTAAGGGTTACCAATAAAGTGAGCATAAAATAAGAGTATAACTGGAAAATTAAAATAAATTTAAAATATGCATTAATCAAGTTAGTTTAATTTGTGCATGAGAATTTGATAATTTATCTTACAAATAGAAAGGGAGGGGGAGGGGGAGGTACTAGGGAGTACTCCTTCCTTTTTTTTTTTTTATAAGAGTTAGTTTTGTGATTTTTTTTTATAAGAATTAGTTTTGGGATTCATCAAACTAAGGACATAGTTAAAGTTAATAGGTCATGTCTTAAAAATTTTAGTTTAGTTTTTCAATTCTATCCTCCATTAAATGTTATAGATTTGATTTTTTTTTCAAATACTTTTGTCGAAATTAATCATTGATTAGTTGATATATTTGAAAATATATTCTAATTCTTTCTAGAGAAGCATAAAGATTATTAAAAAAACGATACTATAGCTCTCAAAACTAATACTTATGAAAAAAAAGACAGAGAGTAGTATTTCAAAAAAAAAAAAAAAGACAGAGAGAGTGAAGAAGAGAATGAAATATTTTTCTCAATTTTTTGGTGAGCAATATGTTTCACAAATTACTCCGTAATATATATGTATCACAAATGAGTAATGACTAATAATGAAAATCTATCTCAGCTCAAGTAAATGCCAGGCATGGCTAATTTCGACCTTTGTTCATCAATGAGAGTAATTGAAACTCCACATTTGGCAGAAGTAGGTAGCTTTAATGTGTTTTTTCACTTATTGCTGCCACTCCACTGTTTGTTGACTATCCCAGTTATTTCAAATTTTATATAATGATATTTTGTTTCTCCTTTTATTGCCTAATATATATATATATATATATACACACACATATACATATAAGCAGTAGATGAGATTAGAGAGAGGGCCTGTTTGGATGGTAATTAGATATAATTAATTATATTATAATACAATCTATTTGAATACTAAAATTGATTTCAGCTGTATAAATTTTCATAAAGACATTGCTTTTTAAAATT